TATTTATTATCATTTTATGTAATTGTGTGTTTTATTCATGTTTTAATATTGTTGGAAGCCACCCTGAGTCCCTCTTTGGAGGTCGAGAATAGGATGGGATATAAATGTTCTAAATAAATAAATTTCCTCAATTTAGGCCTGATGGGGGTTTGCAACAGTTAAAATAACATACTTAAAATTGGAACCATACAAAAGTTAAAAACAATTAATACATCACCAAATGTGAAGCCATGTAAAGCAGCAGCAACATCAACAAGAAGACCAGCACATTTATACAAGGCCTTTTCTGCCTGAAATATTAATGGTCAAAGTCTTGCTTAAATAAAAAGGTCTTCTCTCCCTGCACAAAGATGGAAGGCATGTTCCCAGAACCTGGAAGAGCAACGAAGAACACCTTTTCCCATGTTGCCACCAAATAAACTGGTGGGGGTGGTGGGATAGAAAGCAGGCCTCTTCAGAAGATCACAAAATGTAAGCAGGTTCATACCAGAAAGTACAGCCTTTCAGAGGACTTGGACCTAAAATATATAGCATTTTAAAATCCACCCTGAAACAGACTTGCAGCTAGTGATGCTGTTGCAGTAAGGACTTCATCAGATGGGCAGGAGGAAGGCAGAGGGAAACATCCTCCTTAGTTCCCTACCATCTTTCCCTGTCTTCTGGGTTGGCGTCCCATACCACATTGTTTCCTTTCCTGTTCTTTCCTCTCTTCCTCCCTGTGTTCTCCAGTTAGGAGTCAGGTAGTACTCAATTCCCAAAAACACCATTTTCAGGCACTGGCAAGGCAGAAGTGTCTGTGCATCATGGGGTGATTCCATTTTGCCAGCAACTATGAACTAAGAGAAGATCTTGGAGACTGGCCAATATGGGGGGATCCAGGGACGGCTTTTTCAATAATGTACTGATTTCCCATTCAATAGCTGATTAAACTGACCTTCTTTAGTTTAGATTAACAACTATTTTGATTGAGTAAAAAGGACCAGTACTTCATCAGAACTGTGCTGCCAAATTATGGCATTTGTAGAATTTTGAGTCAAAGATTTTGGGCTTTATTCCCAATTCACCCATATTTATTCTTCATTATAACTGCTAGTAAGCTGTTTTTAATTTCTCTCCCTTTCTCACTGAATAAAATTGGACCATCCACTCAGACATGGCTCCCAATTTATCTTTTAAGACACTAGTAGGAAAATGAACCACTTAGAGTCCAGAGTAAAATATTTCATACTTCACTACACAAGTTTTTCAAAAAGCCTAGCCACTTTCCTAGTTTATTTTTTTTTACTTTGACATAAAAAAGGAAGGTGTTGCATGCTGAGATAGTCAGACTTGACTAGGTTCCCCTTTGACCAATGTTGAAGAACATCACAGTAATTTGTTTTCCGAGCAAATCCTTTAGCACTATATTCACAGTGTGCTTTATCTAACCAAAATGGCATGGCACTACTAGAGGTGGCAACAGTAGTCTGGCAACATGAGGAAATAATATCTGTTGCAAGAGGAATGTCATTATTTTTAAATGGTGCATGTATAGAGGTTTGAAACTCACCTATGGAAACCTTCTGGGTGACCTTGAGCAAGTCATAGAATCATTGAATCATAGAGCTGGAAGAGACCACAGGGTCACCCAGTCCAAGCCCTTGCCATGCATGAACATAAAATCAAAGCACTTGTGAAAGAGGGCCATTCAATATCTGTTTGAAAACCTCCAGGGGAAGTAACTTCACCATACTCCAAGGCAGCATATTCTGCTGTCAGACAGCTCATACTCACAGGATATTTTTTCCTAATGTGGAATCCCTCATAGGTGGAATCTCTTATAGTCTCAGACAAAAACAAAGGCAAATTTCTCAGGACAAATCTTGCCAAGAAAATTCCATAATAAATTCACCTTGGAGTTATCATGTCAGAAATGGCTTAAAGTCACACAATGGCACTTGGTAATGTGCATTCTAACTAGGGCTGTTGCTCCACCTTCTTATAGTTGTTTGTTCAAACAAAATATGTTATGGATACTTACTGTTGAATCTAATACACACCTCTGATGTATGACTGCCCTATCTGAAACCAGGTTTCCTTCTAATATTTTACTAAAGTATTCGACTAATAAAAAGGGGGATGTTTGGGGCACTGTCACATATATACTCTAGGTATCAGAGATATTTTTCTCCATTGCAGAGAAGGCACATCTGTGAAGTACAATTTGCTTCCACGTTTATCATGCTTCAGCATAACAATGGCACCATTGTGACATTTCAGGCACTTGCCATTATCTGAAATGTCAGGGCAGTGAGGAACACATATCACACCTGAAACACAGATATGCACTTTACTGTGTAGAGTTTCTGACCCTTTTATTCTTTTTGTGTTTCAGGGAATCCTTTTATTCCGTTGCCTGAGTTGATAGTGTTTTTTAAAAAAGGACCACACCAGGAAAGTGGTTGGGAGTGGGGGTGTAATAGCTTTCTAATTTCATTCTTAAAGAAAACAATATGCCCTTTTTAGCCATTGTCTTGATTAGCTGGAAAACTAATTTGTACTTTTGCACAGAAAACAATATTTCATGCATAGGAAATGTTATTTGCTGTTCTAGTTTGTGTATAAAAAAATCCCAAAGCAAAGATTCTTCTAAGTAAAGGATTCTCCTTGTGAGGGCTTCATGACCATAGAGCAAGATGCTTTTCTAGAATTTACCAAATATTTGTATTGTTCTTTCCACCCCTAGTCAGGAGTTATGCAGAAAGAAGCATTTCGATCTGTAAGGCAAAGAGATGCCAGTCTCACAAAAGGGCAGAAATGGCATTAGAGATCATGGTGACTGGAGTCTCAGTGAGGTGGAGAAACCACTCTGGGGTTTCACCAGAATTATCCAAGGTGCTGAATCCTATCCCCAAAATAGATTCAGCAGTATGGAGCAGCATTTAAAATTTGTGCTAAAATCCAAAGTGATTCACTGCCCTGCTGAACATAGATGGTACCAGTTGCTTCTGGCTGCAGACCTGCATCCACGTTCAGTCATAAGATAATGTGGTATTAGAAAATAAATGCTCCAGAAAGCTAAACATCTCTTCTCCACTTAGCAGACCCCAGGAGATGGTTTAACAATTATGGGACATTTTTCTATCAGCAACATGTAAAGGAAATATTGGACATGTTCCTCATAAACCACAAGAGGAACATTAAACTTTAGTATAGCTCAATGCTAGTTGCTTTCTTATGAAGTTCAAAATCTTTGCAAAACAAACAGAAGTGCTTATTACAAAATTTTAAATTCACAAAAAATAAACACAATACAATTTAGCTAGTTTTGTATTACATGTTTGCTATTTTGTGAAAACAAAACAATGCATACATTTGGGGGTTACCTTAAGCATTTTGTTTTCAAATGAGAAGGCAGAGAATAAATGTTTAAACAGATGAATGTCAGATCAAACCCAAATACATGCCACTACACCATCTCATTAATCAAATTGCTAGTTGAATTGAACACCCTTTGTTTACCATCAAAAACAAACAGAACAATGGTAATAAAACCGAAAAGCACCATTGTTCATCATTCACAGCTATTTAATAATCTATTTCAGTGTATATACAAATGAACAGATACATAATTAAAATTCAATACCAAGGGGCATCACCATCTGTTTTACATCTATTGTTTCAACTTCCATCAACTGATTCATCTGTCTTTCTCTTCCCCCTCTGTATTTCCCTTTTCTCAGAAAGAAAGAAAGAAAGAAAGAAAGAAAGAAAGAAAGAAAGAAAAGGAGGGATCATAGTAAAAGAAAATGAGGAACATTGTTTCTGTAGTGCATGATCACCATTTTAAGGAAAATGTGATTTACTATTTTCACCATTTCTAAAGAATGATTCCTTTCAATATCTTTGGTACAGAACAAAATTAAATGCACAAAACACCTAATCATCCTCCCCAACCCACTTACCCATGATGGGGGAAGATGTTTGCTAATCAAATGGCTCAAGATGTCCATAATGCATGTACCTGCACATTTAGTAATAAGTGAAAGTGGACCCAAGGTGCTTGCGAAGCAACTGTACTATTATCTTCATCCTGAATAGTAATTGCTCTTCTGTATCTGCCTTCCTGTGGTGCAGTAGGTTAAACTGCTGAGCTGCTTAACTTGCTGACCAAAAGGTCATTGGTTCAAATCTGGGGAGTGGGGTGAGCTTCCACTGTTAGCACCAGCTTTTGCCAACCTAGCAGTTCAAAACCATGCAAATGTGAATAGATCAATAGGTACCGCTTCAGCAGGAAGGTAACAGCACTCTGTTTTCACATCATCCTCTGCCTGCACCAACTCTTCATTTTCAACATTAATCTTCTGCACCAGTTTATGAATATTCAGACATATTTATTCAAGAAGTAAAATGTTTTATCTGCTTTTTCTTTATACAGAAATATCTCAAAGTCCAAAAGAATCTTAAATATAAACTGAGTATCCCTTATCCAAAATTATTGGAATCAGAAATGTTTCAGGTGTTTGATTTTTTCAGAATTTGGAATATCTGTATTTGCCTGTAACTACACAATGAAATGTCTTAGTAATGGGACTCAAGTCTAAACATAAAACTAATTTATGTTTTATAGATGCCTTAAAGGCATAACCTGAATATTCATAAAATACTTTATATAATTTTTGAGGGTGAAACAAAAGTTTGTGTGCATCAAACCATTGCAAAACAGAGGTATCATTATCTTAGCCACCCATGTGGAGAATTTTGGTTTTTTGAAGTATTTTGCATTTTCGAAATCTGGATAAGGTATTCTCAACCTGTTGTGGGTGGAGAGGTAACTCACAAATGCTTTAAATAAAGAAAAAACGTTTAATGCGGGTGAGTGCAAATAATGTTTGTTCACCTTCAGCCATCTTCTTAAAGGTTATAAGAATGGTCTTTTCCACTGTTTTTAGGACTATAGTTCATTGGTGACCTTCTTTTCTCTCTTCTTTCCATCCCATCCCATCCCATCCCATCCCCAGGCTTCTGAAGAAGGAAGAAAATTTTGTCTTCATTCCTCGGTCCCGTGAAGAGCTTCCAGATAACTTTCCAAAGGAAATCCCTGGGATTTGTTATTTCCTGGAGGTCAGAACTGGTCAGAAGCAGCCAAAGTCCTCTGTCACATCTGCCAGAGTGAGAAAGATTTCCTACAACATTGGCACCATGTTCCTCCGGGAAACCAGCCTATGAGGCCCACTGCGGATCAAAGACTCATCAAAAAAGCACAAGCCCAGAACTGGGTCATGACAGGAAAGAGGAGATTCTTTCTATTTCACTGCATTGTTCCAAGCAAGCAGAAAAAAAGCTCTGTGAAATGTCAGGCAATAATTCTTTTTAAAGGTGGGTGACTGCTGTCAGTAAACAAACTGGAAAGGGGCAAGGGAGGGGGCAGAGATGTTTAACACACACACACAGATCAGATTAAACAAAAAATGACTACTGTATTGATAGAGCTTCTCTTTGTCATGAGAGTCATTGTAAGGGTAAAAAAGGAATCCAAATGGACTTGATGTTGAATGGGAAATGGAGACATGTTCTCCTAAGCTGGGCTGACTATTTGTGGCTATCTAGATGTTGGTAGGCTGCGATTCCCATCATCCCTCAGCCACTATGGCCAGGGCTGATGGGGTTTGTAGACCAACAACATTTTGAATTCTTTACCACCAATGCAGTGACGATTTGGAGAGGTATTTTTCTGATGGAGCTGCTTCTGTAAATCCAAAGAGGAGGAAAGTGAATCTCATTATGTCTTCGAGCCACTTTGTCTCTCAAGATCTGCTTCACAGGTCTAGAAAAACTGTAAAGCAAGATTTTAGGTGAGATTGGGAACTATGGGTAATTGAGGGGTGTGTCATTTTGCCACTACATTGAATTTCAGCCTCAGTGTCCTTGGCAAAATCCCTTGAAATAAACTACATGCTTAGTGCATTGCTTCGTTCTGTTTGGAATTGAGAGAATGGTTGCTTTTGAAGACATTGCTTCATATATATTGCTTTAAATGCCCTTCATTAATGGCAGCCAAAATGGAAAAGGCTCCCTTCATGTGTAAAATGCTTGTAAAATGCTTGTAAAAGTTACAGCTGCAGGACATGGTGGATAATTCTCTAAAATGTGCACCAACTAAACCGATAGCTCAGTTTTGGATGCAATCCTGCATATAAAAATGGTATTTGCTAATGGTAAGAATGCTTCTGAGTTGCTTTTTAAACTTAAAACTACTTCATACAAATACTGTAGAGATCATTTATAACCTTCCTGGCAGAAGGAAATATAATTCCATATATAATATTGTAGGGCTTTTACCTATTTTTATACATTTAACTTTCTGGACAAAACGCCACACGCTGTAACAAATGTGAGGCTAGCCTGCTTCTGTACATTTATGGTTATCTATTCAATTTTGACAGGTGGTTGCTATCATTATTATTATTATTATTATCATCATCATCATCATTAAAACAATAGAAGCTATTTTATTGGGGTTCTTCAATAATATCACTTAGATATTTATTTTTCTTGTGAGATATATTTATGTCTTGAATTTCTAAACAAATGTTCAGTATTTGTCCTACTCATGGTGTAGTAACATCAGATATCACGCAAACACAGTTGTGATATCATGTTCCATTTTTGGTATACCATTGGGAGTGGAAAGTGCTGATCTCCTGAAGTTCAGATTTTACCCAAAAGATTCTCTCACCCTTGATAAAACTCCACCAATATTCTCTGTTAATATAGCATTATGAGGCACATGTCTCTTTCTGAGCTACCAGGTCTTCATCCATAAAGAGACATTACCTGAAGATATGTGGCTTGATATCATACCCTCATAGAGTTCTCATTACAACTTAGGCTATCACATGCCATCACCTGCATTAAACCACCTTCTTCTATGTGTCAATATCTATTGTTACAGTGTTTTAGAAATAACCACCAAAAACATATTTACCCTCTGAAACTTTGATATCCCAATGTTAAATGCCAGAGGAGATGGTATGTTTTCAAGTACTGGCAGAAATTGGTTTCACCTTCTCAAAGGATAACTTCTGTTTCCATGTTTAGGATGCAATCCTAACATGTTTTCTCAAAAGTAAATCCCATTATATCCAGTAGAGCTTTTTTCCTGTGTGTATATGTTCAGCCTAAGTCAGTGGTTCTCAACCTGTGGGTCTCCAGATGTTTTGGCCTTCAACTCCCAGAAATCCTAACAGCAGGTAAACTGGCTGGGATTTCTGGGAGTTGTAGTCCAAAACACCGGGGGACCCACAAGTTGAGAACCACTGGCCTAAGTGATCTTGAGGTCAGTACTAGCTGCTGATTCTAAAACTATAACCAAGCCGCAATATTACCATCACATATGACCACTCCAGAGTAATGGATGGATGTATAATGATAGCTTTGATCAGCAGGAGACCTTTAGCTAGACATTGTAATCTTCATGTAGGAATACTGTAATTCAGCTTTAATCCATTATTGCATGTGTCACAGCCCCATAAACATATGCCACCATCAGCTGCATACAATCATTGTATGTTGTCCAAAAAATCCCTCTGTGTCCACAGTGTGGTTTATACTTGCTTACATTACCAACAGGATGCTAACCATTGTATCTCCACAATCAAAGAAAGAGAGAGTAAGCAGATACAATATTTCATTAATTAAAACAAATAATCTGTAGCCCACAGAAGCTGATGCCACAATAAATCTTAGGAGTCTTTAACATGTTGCAAAACTCTTCTTGGCTACCTTGAATGCTGTAATCCAAAACAATTCCAGTTGAACCTTTATGATTTATGCCCAGCATGAATCCTGATGCCAGAAGGTGATGCTTGGAAGCATATTGTACTTCTTTGTATTGTGCCCCAGAGCTTTCTTGACAGCTAAGAGATAGCTGGCAAATCACTTCTGCAGCAGTATCCACAGCTGAATACTAATCTGGAGCTGAACATTCCCCCTTGTCTTACAGATAAGCACTCAGGTTTATATTTGTACAGCTGTTCTGGCATTAAAAGGGCAAATAGGAGGTAAAGTTGGAATCAAAGTTGGGAGGTGAGGTGAACCTCCTCTGGGAAGAGTGGTAATTCTGAAAATAAGTCATACAGAGCAATCTTCTCAAATAGTAAGGTGCAGATAGGTGCCAGAAGCACTGCCTTCTCCCAGCTTCTCTTCCAATTTGTATTGGCCCAAGTCACATACAGCTTCAATTTTTTTCAGTCTCAAGTTATTCTCATCCTTTTTTCAATGGGCAGCTCCCATTGATCTTGCAACTTTGATATCTCTTAAACTAAATCTGAAGTGACAACTCTGTGCCTGCATTTTTAAAAAGTGGGGGTGAAAAAAAGGAACTTAAGTTTACTTGAACATGAGGCTTCAAGGATTGCAATCCACAAAATATGCATAAGAGGAGATGGATAATACAGTTGACCTCGATATCCATGGATTCTGCATCAATTGATTCCACCATCCACAGCTTGAAAATATTTTAAAAGGTTTCCAAAAGTAAATCTTTTTTTTCTACTATTTTATTTAAGGGACTTCATTTTATTAAACCATTGTATAATGGGACTTGAGCATCCACTGTAATTCCTGAAAGCTCGTGCTAATTATAAATCTTTAAAAAGTTATGTTCTTTGACTTCAACTCGCAGGAGTTAGGAGTCAAGAATAACTTTTGGTAGTTCTGAGGCTAAACTCTCATTCAAATTTCTCAATCAGATATCCTCATACAGTGCCATTTTTTAACCTTGATTCTGGCAACGGGTCCAGTAAAATGATTAAGAATATGCAGTCATAAATCATCACCCACCATTTAAGAGGACAAAAACAGCTTTATATTCTTGGGTATTCATAGGGGTCATATTTGCTTTCAAGTACTAAAATTTCACACAATGAATGAAATATTTAAGATTCTAACTTTTCCATACATTATAGTTTTTAAAAAATTCTTCATCTTTCACTTTTATCAAAGTAGCCCTTGATGGTGCAATGGGTTAAACCCTTGTGCCAGCAGAACTACTGACTGAGAGGTTGCCGCTTCAAATCTGGGTAGCAGGGTGAGCTTCCATCTGTCAGCATCAGCTTCTCATGCAAGGACATGAAAGAAGCCTCCTACAGGATGGTAAAACATCCGGGCGTCCCCTGGACAATGACCTTGTAGTTGGCCAATTTTCTCACACCAGAAGCAACTTGCAGTTTCTCAAGTTGCTCCTTACACACACACACACAAAACCTTTTATCAAAACAACACAGTTTGTGCAATGCTGACTTTCATGTCATATGGAATAAATACTATAATTTCTGTCAGGCACCTTAATACTAAACCAGATTTGTTATGGAAATAGCTTTGTTTGGAACAGTTTCCTTTAGATGCAAACTTTAGGATTCATTTTTAATACTTAAATTCTGGCTTCCCAACATATGCACAGATATAGTCCTAACCATGAAAATGATTACAGTTTTGGAAAATCTATGGACAGTAGAAGCAAAATACATAAAACAGTTCTGCTTTGCAGCCTCAATTTATGGCAATCTGATCTGCATGGGCCTCCTCTTAAAACCCAATTATAATTAAGTGATGAATCATTGCAACCTTGCTTGGCAAAGTGTTCCCATTGTTTCCAGACACGTAGAATGAATAGGAATACTAATTAATTTGAACAATAGGATCCACAAGGTAAGAGCTATGGCCTTGAGTAAAACTGCAAACCCACCATTTAGGTGTCTTTTCAAATCCCTAATTTTTAATAAGAAATGAATTCATAATCACAGAGATCACTAGAAAACCTAAACAATTGCTCTCAGCATCTCCATGGAGATAATGACTGTGTTTGCAAATAAATCAGCTTGTTCTCAGAAAATAGCATAGCTTTCCTACAAAGAATCTATAGATAGTAGGGTTTTTTTGTTTTGTGAACGCATGTTCAAAGGTGATATATCCCAAACATCAATTTAAATGCAAAGTATTATATGCTGTGCTCCTTTATTATGACAGCTAAGTTTCCACAGAGGCATATTCTTTAGCTCATTGTGTGAGGGGAGCTTGGGTGCATTGTTAGGATTCTGCTTTTTTATATTGCAATAATTCTTAGTTTATTTCATTTCCCATGGATAAAAACATGAACATTTTCTATCAAGTCAAGGATGAATGTGGATGTTTTTCTGTAGCTATTGCTAGGAATGCATTTGGATTCAGCTACTTATCCTTGAGAGGGGTATTTGAAGTTCAGCATAGGCATCTGGTGGATTAATTATTGAACTTCCATTAGTTGTGAGAGTTGTGAGCATGCTTTGTAAAATACTGGAGAATGGAAGGCAACATTTTAAAAATGTAAAGAAATAGAAGTTAATGTTTTGCAAATGTGGGTGAATGCCAAGCAATTACCCAAATGAAAGTTACATAGAAAATTTAGCTTGGTTTTTTTGACAGATCACACTATTAGTACCTTCTGATGGAAACCCATGCAGTTGATTATGGGCTCATTGATGTTGTCTTTCAGGCACAAAGTTCACTTGCTTACATGATACGTTCTAACTTCATTGTTCTGTGAGTTCATCTGATTGTCTCCTTAAGTATGACCTGCATTTGATAAAATCAAAGTTCTGCCATTTTGGATAGCATTTTGTGCTGTTCTATCTTTAAGTCACAATATGATAATATTATGACACTAATACGCAAATACTTTTCTGTTATCTGTACAAGTACAAGGAATTAATTTCTGTACTGTGTGGAAAAATATCTGCTATCTCATGTTTGCTTGCAGGTAGTAAAACTTAACTTCCTAAGAACTCAATACATTTTTGATAAACCATTGAATTATAACACATCAAAAAGTTCAGTGCAATTGTCTACAGTCAAAATGAAATTGTTTTATTCCCCCCCTCCCACTCCCACACACACACACACACACACACACACACACACAAAAGAATCTCCTTGGACATTTTGTGTTCATATTCACAATGTGTCATGAATGACTGTGCTTATTTTGCATAGCTTATTTTACCTTTTCCCCCTCTCACCTCTGTCCTTGTTGTTAGTCTTCAGGATGCCATAACACTCACGGCTACTTTTCTTGCAGCAGATTACCATGAGCTACCTCTCTCATAATAGTTACAATTGGAAGGCATCACATTTATTATATTTACCGTTATTCTTCTTCATCCAACCTAATTTTTCTGGACACGGCGAAGAAAGGATTGGTTTTCATAAGTTGTTCTGGTTTTTGAATTTGCACCATGAAATAAAGAGGCCAGACACAAGAACACGAAACTAAAGGTCCATTTTTTGACCTATTTGTTTATTTACTATAACTTCTGGATGCACCTGTAAACCAAAATAACCTGTAAGGGAAAAGAACTAGTAAGGAAATAACCAGTTGTGTTTTCAGCCATCTAGTGAGTAATGTCCTTCAGCCTGGTGTCACTTCCTTTGACCACCTCTAAGGACCATCCTTGCACTAGCAGCATAGATCCCAAGGGACACCCCAAAATCTTTGGCTGTGCACCTTGGGCATTTTTAAGTGGAAGGCCATCCTGAGGGCACTCCCTCCCAAATCTTTGAGTTTTTCAAGACCATGAAACCCTCATTCTAGCCCCAAGGGGAACCCCCCATTTACAGCCCCTCAAGCCATAAAGCCTATAGTGACTGTTAAGGAAATCCAACCTTCACCCACAAAGATGGATGCCGTGGTGTCTACCAGGACTATGTTACAATTTACATGCCATGACAACCTATTTAAATGATGCCACCCTAAGATAATTACTGCACCCAGCCAAAACAGTATGGGGTAAGCAAAACAGAAACAAAAACCCAAGGAACAATTAAAAAGGGGGGGGGGGAATCCTATGCAGCCTAGATGTGACCACTTTGCACTAACACTATCTATAGGTTGGGAGGGCGAGTCACAAGCAGAGTGAAGAAGTTAAACTGGAGGGGTTGTTCAACCTTAAATGGGCTCAGATCTGCCCTGTTGATGTCTGATAAAGCCAACCAGCCTCAACTAACACTGGCCTCCTTTATGGGGGGCCTTCAACTACCCCCCCCCCCTTCAGCTCTGAGTGGGGCTTATGTTCATGCCTTTTCTATTAGCTTCAGGGTTGTCTAACATGTGCCAGTCTCTTCCATCTGCTTAACAATCTGTGGGAGAGGGGTTGTGCCAAAACAGTGTATGTTACATTGCGAGGTGATCTAGATTTCATTTTTGGTTGTCTGAAAAGGTTAATTTATCTAAGGTATCTTTGTCCTTAAGGCCTTGTACTAGTCTTAAGTGTAGTTCTGAATAATTGGCAGTAGTAATAAAGAGACCCTTGTGCAAATATTTCCCTGCAAAATTCAAGCCACTTTATGTCAAAATGTTCCAGTTATACATCACTCAGGTGCTCCCATGTAGATTATGATAGATTGGGGAGTGGTATTTGTGAAACAGTCATAATGGGTAGCAAAGCAAAGGCTTAAAAAGCTTGGGGACAATCCACACATCTGTCACTCCCAAGTAACAGGAAACTCTGCATTAAATTGCTGGTACTTTAAAGAAGCTCCTTCCTGGGAGATTTTCCAGTAATCATCAAACAGGTGTTATTTTTCTTCTACCAGTAGAGTATTTTGTCTTCAGGTATGGTTTCTTTGAGTACCTTCCAGCCCTCATCATGTTGACTACTTCATACATCTTAATTGAAATTTTCTCATTTCGCAAAGGCCAGTAGGGTTCAGGGGCTATTCATATCTGTGCCAGTAATTAAACTATTTCAAGGGTAGTTGATGGGCAGCATCTTTTCCAGATGGTGCCAAGATCGCTATCTGATATTTGTTGTGAGTAAGACTTATGATGTGCTGCCAGAATCAAAGGAAAAGAAATTAACAAGGTGTTTCCACTTGCCAGCTGTTCATCTTAGACCATGCCACCATTTTCATGCCACCTCCAGATATCATCTTTCAAATATCTAATATGCATTCTGAGAATTTGTCATAATATTATAAGCAGTCAGCAAGGTAGCAAATCCGTCTAAGTAGGTTCCATTGCTTTGAACCACCATATGCTAGACCCGGACTTCTTAAAACTTTTCCAATTGCAACTCCTTTTGTTTGAGAAATGTTTAAATGACCCTGGATATAGAGGTACATGAAATAGGCATAAAATCAAACATTTACTGATAATAAATCAGCATTTTCAAGGCTTGCTAAGTAGCCTGATTTTTATTTTTGTGGAGTACAGCTGAAGCATTTCCGCAGAGTCCACTGTAACATTGCAGGTTGTTCCTAGCAGATTTGTGTAAATGTGTGGTATTCAGAAACCTTCTACCATTGCCAACATTTTATGACCCAAACATTGAGCTAAGAGGATCCCATCTGGAATCAGGAGACACAGTTTAAGCAGTATGGTAGAGAAAGCAAACACAACTGAGTAGTACACTTTGGAAAGTGGTCTGCTTTTAAAAACTTTCCAACTTTTGTCACTTTATGTGCACCATCTATTATTCCATTTCCATACTAATCTATCATTTTTAAAATTCCATGCACAAATCATATATATATATATATATATATATATAAAATTTCATACACTTGTACCCTGCCCTTCTCACCCCCGAGGGGGAACACAGGGCAACCTCACAGCAAGCACCATTCGGTGCCATCACAATCATAAAAACATTCAACAAACTCATTAAAACAACATTAAATAAACATATGTGTGTGTGTGTGTGTGTGTATTTCCATAATATATTATTTTAATATATTTATCTATTTTATTTATATATTTACCTTATTTATATCCCACTTTTCTCTACCCCAGGGGAACTCAAGGCAGCTTACATGTGGCACCTCCACAGTGCCTTAAAAACATACAATGTTAACTTAAAAATAAATTGGATTAAAATTAATACATATTATACAGAATTAAAGTATATGTTTACGTTATTTACAAATACTTATTTGTAACTGTATGTAGGCACTTCTTAAGAACATTTCATAATTGCAAAAGCCAAACGGATGACTACATTCTGATCGACTGATTAGTTCACAATCAGCTTGGTTCCTATTGAGATTTGTAAGGACTGAATTCCTCAAGCCTCTGTTTCCAAAGATCTAGGTCAGCACTGGTATGCTCTTCAGCCAAACAAATAGTTTAAATGCTTTGAACCCATAACCCTTAAGTCACTTAATTCACCATGATCCGGTGCATGAATTTATAATCTGAAAACCCAATGTACCATAGTTAGTGTTTTCCTGC